GACTATCTCTCAGGCAAGGCGCCTCTATCACCCGAGACTGGGTCGGACGACGGGCATGAAACCATTGTCGACGCGGCGGCACCAGTCAACACATCAAAGATTCCGACGGACCACGGGCCCGAGAGTATAGATGATATTCGAGACGAGGACTTCCATCGAGATCGTAAAGTCAACGAAGATGCCGACAACGCTCTCGAAGATCCGTCGACACCGCAAGAGTCGCCGGCAAACGTCCCGCCTCAGCCCCGGCATCCTACCAAGGTCGTCAGGTCTATCATTATGCCTGCACCTGCCAATCACGCGCTTCTATTCATGCCTGCTACAGTCAGAATTCTGGCTGGTCTCATCTCCGACTTCCTTGCCAATCATGTCACTGGTCGTCTATCCCTCGGCTGGCAACTACAGTATCTCTCACGGGAAGGCAAGTGGGATGTGAAGAACCTGGCCAAGTGGAAGGGCGTTACCCCGGTCTCGCACCCAATCGGTCCAGCAGGCAGCCCGCCAGTCTTCAGAGCGATGAAGACTCTGCGAGAAGCAGACGACACGCACTGTCCCGCCGAGTTTGTCAAGAACTGGGGAGGAATCATCAAGGACGTGATTGACATCAGTCACGACAAGCCGGTGTACGACCCACGGACCATGGAAAAGGGCGGCGTACGATATCACAAGTTCGCGACGGTCTCAAAGATCCCGCCGAAGGACTCGGAGGTGGCCCACTTCATTGCCCTCGTGGACAAGTTGCGGGAGCAGCAGAAGGCGAGGGCCGAGGAGGAGAAGTGGGCCGAAGTGGACGGGCAGACGCAGGTCATTGGCGTCCACTGCCACTACGGCTTCAACCGCACTGGCTACTTTATCGTGTGTTATTTGGTCGACCGGTGTGGGATGTCGGTCAAGGACGCAATCGAGACGTTCAAGGAGGCGAGGCCTAATGGGATTCGCCACCAACACTTTAGAGACCGGCTATATCTGCGGTACTCGGGACTGCAGGAGGAGGAGGCTGTGGAGCAGCAGCAGAACAGTTCATGAGATTCTCCCGCTTCAACATGAGGATTTCGTGGGTATAGGGGGGGTGAAAGGGGTTCAACTGGCAGCGTCACTGATTAATGATAAATATACTTTTTCAGCCTCGCGGTTGGCAGCATAATGAAGTTTCCTATACTCTGAGAATTCCAAGGGCTAGGCTGAGAGTATCTTGGCTGAGATGCCTAAGCTTACCATCTGTAGTGTTACTTGAGTAACGATGACTCTTCATTTAAGGCAGTTGATCTTTTTGATTTCATTCCTCAACACCAGAGACAGATGTAGGAGGCGACTCTTGGAGGTGTTTCACACAATATGATCTTGTCTGATTGCAATAAATTCGCAGACGAGCCTTTCTAGTAAGCTATTTGGCTGGATACCCTCGAGAACTCGTCATGCGCACATCGGTTCACATACCGAGCTCGGACAGAACTATTTTCGACTTCAAACGTGATTCTTCTCGTTTTTTGCATCTAGACTGCGGCCCTCGGGGATAACATCAACAGCCGACGCCTTCTGCGTGCGGCGACAGGATAGCCATCGTCGGCAAGATATCCCACAAGCCGGAGGCGGACTGGGACATCTTCTCAAGATTATTGAATTGAAGGGAGCGCTGGGTATCAGCTCACACATAGGCTATTCGGGCAAGACACCTCGCCCTCGAATGATCAAGCAGCCAAAGGTCTCGCCTACCTCGACGCCACCCCTATCAGTCCATAACCTCCCCCATCATTCGATACTCCCTTCTCACAAGACCTTCCAAAACTTCAAAAGAATCAAATTATCCATACATCTCTATCACCGACACACTTCTCATCACCAGCAAAAGAGAACACTGATCAGTGGGAGGCTTGAACTCCCGGCCTTGGCATTTACACAACATTTCCTGGTGAAATATTAGTACCACGCTCTAACCAACTGAGCTAACCGACCCCATCCTGAAGCGGATTTGATTGTTGGATGTGTGATGCCGTGTGGATTTTGCCCTAAGTCAGGGAGGGCCACGATGATGGGGGGTCCTCGGAGGGGCGGGTCGCGGGGCTCTTCGGAGGGTTCGGTGGGACCTCCGGCGCTGACGGATGGGTCGGTGACGACGTTTCTACGTGCATCGAAGATTCGGAGAGGGGTTTGCGAGTGGTTGAAGGCTGTAGGAGTTGTGAGAAAGTGGAATCTGATGGAGAGTGTGTTTGGGTTCTGATCTCGACGCTTTATCGTCTCTTTTGCTGCAGACCTGATATGTGTAGCATGGACATCATGTATGACGACTTGGACTTGTTTGGTATAGAAACTATGGTAGAGAATTCAATGATCACTTGAGTGTGCGCAGGAACAGTTCATAATCTCACCAGAAGAAAGTTATCACAATTGTTGACACCAAGCCTTGGGCGCTTTTCTTGATACATCCAAAGCCTCACACGGCGACATGTTCCGTGATATATGAAGACCAGAAATAGAGCTTTGGATGTGCTGAGATTGTATGCAGTCTAGTATGAATATATGTAGTGTAGTAACAGAGACGCTTCCCCTTTCCAAAGGCGGCATTGCAACAGGCTTTTCCCTTCGCGTGGAGGGTTTACTTGGTATTAGGGCGAAAGGTTTAACACTTGTGGCAGTCTGATGATCAAATCAGGCGGGCTCTTTCATATGTATCTGGGACGAGCATATTTCCCTAATCCGTGCCAAAGTAACAGTCAACTCGATAGCTTGCGCATCCGGTGTAATATGTTACCAGACGACTACATACTTCAAAGTCTACAGTCAAACCTTGCTATTGACCAGAGACTAGAGTCTCGTGTATATAAAATAGGGTAGAATGATGTTAACAGCCGTGACTGCTGTATCTGTGGCCAATTACTTGTCGCTGGGACTAGACATAGGCTGCCTCGTCAGCTCATTTGAAGATTCAGTGCTGTCCCCTGAAGGTTGAGTGCCAAATACGATGTGTGCGCACTGCAGCCATGGCCGATTCATGGCCCGGCGCGTGATTGAGTGGGAGATTGGAGCGCTGCTCTCTGGGTGACTTGTAGGTAATACCATCAAGAGCCTAAACACTATTACACACTGTAGGTGGTCCTTCTGAGTCCATCCTTCCGCGTGTTTTCAGCCCGGCATACTGGAGGCATCGGGCTGATAAAGACCAGTGTTTCTGTCAAAGATGCCGTGTAACACATGAGATATCTGGAAAGGAAGGCTGTTACATCTCTCGGTTTAGATATAGACAGAACTCCGTTGATACCGAAGTTGATTCGATGGATGTAGTCTCCTGTCATACGAGAAGTCATTCTGTCATACCACTCTTCGAACAAAAGTTTTCAGCAGAGGCCTCCATGTTCGTACGATAGCAATCCCTAATTTCGTAGAGGTCATAGACTGTCCTTTCCATGTCGTCGTCTCAACTGATCCCTCTGCTCGCATTGACAGAGAATGCGAAGGCCATAAACACATACTCTTGTCGTGATATCCTAATCCTGTTCCAGCGGGCTCAAGTTGGCTTTTCTTCGCCCTCCGCACGTATGAGAAGATGATACGAAAGCAGGGTAAACCGACTTCAGTACCACATCAACCAGTTGGACAAATCATGTCTTGACGGGAAGGGATTTGGAATCCACTACTTCGATACGAATTGGCGATTGCACTCACGGATTGAATATGAAGAGAAATACCAAAATCGCCAATAGCCACGTCTAAAGGCCTTCTGAACTGCGAGACTCCTTCTTCAGATGTAACCACGATGAATACGAGATGAGTACTTTGCAAGATCACAGATGGGAAACTTTGATCTCTGCGCTGCACTCTACTTAGCTTTGTATGTGCCCCTTTTTCTTCAAGAAGCACAACTGTAAGTGATGTTACACTCTTTAAGGTCATTTGTGAAATCGAGACTCTCTTTCTCTCTTGTGAGTCTCCTTGATCATACCAAGGTATTCATGGTCTTTCGTGTAGTCGCGTCGAACAGTTGGAAAGTGGTGCTCGTACATGATCTTACAGCGGCTTCGCAGCTCCGAAGAAGTAAACAGGTGAGCTCGTAACCAAATGGATAAATGGATCACAACAAGTCAGGGGGACCTGAGAAACCCTCCCTCTCTCTCTGTAACCACTAAGTCTTCTTGTACATCATATCCTCCAGGGGAGTGAAGATGTCTCCTTCCAGGCGCTCAACACAAATACATTTACACAAGGCAGACAATCTCCATTCACATCATCAGCCGCCGTCTACTCCAGGTTTTGTTGGCCCCCTTCTAAAGCTTCTAGGTCCATAAGCCAACGCCGTCGAAAAGTTCATGCTCGACATCGCACGCCGTCGAAACCAAGAGTAAATTCTCCGCAAGCGCATGAAAGATCAAGATCACCGGCGCGCCGCGATTCTAAACTACGGGGAGAAATGGTAGCTTCCACAGCGGAGGACGTTACTGGCGGCGCGGCCTTGGATAGCTTCGCGATCTCAAAATGACGGACATTCGAACGGCTCGCTCAACGGATCTGTCTCCTAGACGCCACCTACCATTCTTCCCTCCCCTCCATCGCTCCCTTCACCGAATCACCTCTCCCGGAGCAAGCAACCAAACCCACACAAATCCAAACAAACATCAAGTTTGTCTCTACGAACCACGAACCGGCTCGCGCACCCACGTGGGGATCAAGAACGGCGGACAGGAGGCGGCGTCCCGGGAGCCAAAAACGACATGAGATGCCGCGGGACGAAGAGAATGGTCGGATCTTCATCCACGTAGTTCGTTCATCCTTCGTGTTGATCTCTCCAGGCACATAACCTCACTCATTGGACATCTCGGCGAGCCCGTTTTTCAAACTCTGTTTTTACGAATTATTCCTGCCCCTACATCCTCGCAGGTTAAACCTAGATGAGAAGCTGAACTGCATAGCCTGGACATTGCAATCACCAATCGTGACATGCACGCAGGGTTCACATCACAATCACATTCCCACGCATCCACAACGAACACACCAGATCTACGAAACCTTCATCCTTCTTTGCCCTGTGATTCAATTCTGCAAAGCTTTGATTTGACTCTCTCTCGTGCTTCGTAACCTCTGTCGCCCACAGGACCAAGCCAAGCCCCCCCCTTTATCACGCAAGTCAGAAGACCGACGAACCGCCGCTCAGGCAATTCTCGTGAAAAGCAATAACACGCCGTCACACGGGCATGTAATGAGCAGGGCACCGGACAAGGGGGTCCAGGGTCAACACCCTCTCTCTTTCTCAATACGAACATATTTCTTCGAAAAGGCGCACGAATGAGCGGGTGATTGGGCAATCTCGGAATATCATCTCCTATCCTCAGAGCATCCAGCACACGGCCAAGTCCCGAGTCCAGGCCCAGGCCTCCCAATTCAGGAAAGCAACTCATCGTACGAAAGTCTCTCTTTGCATCGAAAACTTGCTTTCGTGCTTCGCGTCTGTAATGTGACGAGATCCCAACAGTCCAAACAAGGGCAACCTCCAGCGGATCCTGCATTTCTGCTACTGCTGCCTCCTTCACTCCGTACATACCATCCAGCCATCTAGCCATCCATCCATCCACCCACCAGCCAGCCCCCTTGCGCGTCGTCGTCAACCCCATCGTGAAATGAGAAAAAAACCCAAAATCAGATGATCAAACCTGGCATGTACGCTCCGTCAAGCGGCCGCCGCTGACTGCCGCTTCCCTCCTTCGAACGAAAAAGTCACACGGTCTATGCCATGCAAGCGCACGAGCAAAAGCGAAGAAGACAAGACAGGTCAGCCTTCTCCGAATCCTTCCTGCTTGCCCGTCTACCCCAGCCATCACATCACACACATCCCATCACGGGCATCAAGGGAAGGCCCATCTGACAAACACTCAGACCAAACGCCCCCCAGCACCAACGCCAACACCAGCACCAGCCAGCCCCCAAAGGCCCGCAGGCTGCGGGAACAGCAAAGACCCTCAAGACCGGACCGCGGCAGCTACTCTCTTGGGGAAGAGACAAGACCAGGCCGGGCTCCTGCATGGCATCAGCACCAACACCAGCGCCAGCACCAAGACAAGAGCACTGTTCATCGTCAAGTCTAGTCTAGTCGGGTGGCCGGGGCTGGGAATGGGAGGGGGAGCACGATAAACCCTCAACGTTTAGTTCGGTGGCTGACCTATCTTGAACTTGGCTAAGCTACGTGGTCTACCTCCCGTAGGTAGAGACCACCAAACGGCCACGACACGTCCACGTCCCCGTTGGACACGCGCCGAGAACTGACCCTCTCTCTCACTCACTCTGTGCTCTCTCGCGTTTCCGTGATGTTCCAACGAAGACAGCTTCATCCTTTATCCGTCACTCGCTTCAAATCCTTCGTCAGGAAAACACACAAATCGCACACCCCCTTTCACTAGTTCCCTTCCCCCGTCCACCTGTTCCCTACTCTTTCTGGGCTAATCTTGGTTCACTCACGGCCCTCAAGCCAACAAGAATCACAAGAAACCAGATGACAAGCCCGCAGAAAAGGTCGAGCGCGAAAGCTCAGAAAAAAAAGGAGCGCAGAAGTGTCATAGCACATAGCACACCCCCGGGAACCAGCAAGACCGGCGGACAAGAGGCGGGACAGAACGCGAGAGAGAGAGAGAGAAACAAGACGAGTCCCTCGGACAGTGAACTAGCTTGGTACACCACTGCGCGCGGGCGTGGGATCTTCTCACTCTCTCATTCTCACTCTCACATCCGTCTCGTCTGTCGCGCATGAGGCCTAACGCGCGTCATGTCCCATCAGCTCGCTCGCTGATTCACCAATTCGTGTCGCGAGAAAGAGGCAAGCCAAGCCGTGTATCGTGTCTATGGAGACCAGAGACTGGAGATATGATGTCGCGACACTTTTGCCTTTCCCCCTACTGTATAGTTAGCGGTAGTAGTCTCCTTTTCCCCTACTTGCCACGCCCACGCCCCCCCTCCTTCTTCGTTTCGTTCTTCCGGGGCCCTCTTATTCACACTTGTCTCCATCGTGGGTTCCTCATTTTGTTTCTCCGCCAGTCTTACCGCATGACGCCGCCGGTTGATCATAGGGAAAGGAGAAGAGCTGGCTGGTGTACGAAATACGCACTCCCTAGGCCTTGCTGCTCTTGCCGTCCTCCCACCCCTCATACCGGGGGCTAATCAAGTGCTGCTCCTCTTCTTTCTCACCTGCCGGTATCCCTCTTTCCCCAACCATACATCATACAGGTATCGACAGCCAAACAAGATGGAGGAGAGTAATCCACACGCCCTGGATTTGGCATGGTCTAAACCAGAGAGGGTGAACTAGTCCAATAGAGACAGCGAGAAAAAGAGAGAGAGAAAGAAGACGGCAATGCGTAGAGAAACCCTAAATTTCTCAAATCGACGCCGTCTCGAAGACCAAGAAGGCGCCCGCTAAAGCGATGTTGCGCCATTTGGCCAACAAGAGAAACAGGAGCAGCAATAAGGCAAGCCCTCACAAGATTCCACGCTACAATCGTCCGCTAGACACGTCTCCCATATCAAATCAATGACACTAGAAGGGGTGGGAAAGGGAAGTAGACGATCCCATCACAAGCAAAGAAGAAGAGTAAGAAGAACAACGCCTGACCGAGGGGTGTATCTTGCGTGCTGCTTGCCCATGTGGGAAAAAGCCCATGCCGGAAAGACGCCCGACATCCAGCGCCAACGCCAATATCAGCACCAAGACCAGCACCAGCACCAGCACCAGCACCAGCACCAACACCAGTCATCGGCTGACGGCGTGAGCGTTGGAGGAGGGGGGGAAAAAAGGGGACCCGGGGGAATAGGAATATGCCAGCCAGCCATCAAAGGAAGGAAACCAAGATGGCCTTCTTTTTGGGACGAGACCGGGGGGGAACAAAGTACGTTGGTTTCTGTTGAGCACGTTCCGAGGGCGACATATGGCACCGGCCGTTTGGCCTTTTCGTCGACCGGACCTGTCGTCCTATGGCTATGGCGTTTAACCCGGGGTACCTGTCACGGAGTCGACTCCGGGAAAGACGGCCGCCAAACTACGGCGTTTACAAAAGTGACAATGGCCAGCCTACTCCGTACCAACTACTACACAATTGATAGTGTCCAGACCGGAGAGGCGGGAGGAGGCGGATGAGGGACCGGATGACCTAACGACCGATGATGAATGAATTGTATCCGTAATACATACGTAGAACAATTTGTCATTGCTGCTCCTCGGTCTTCACCCCCTGAACAGTCCAACTGAGAAAGACTTTCGAGGAGGCTTGCAAACAAACGCCCGCCAAGTTACGCAATGCGCCCTTTCTCTTCCTCCGCTTCAAACTTCATCCACTTGCGGCTGGGCTTTCCCCCCCGCCTCCCGCGACTGGTATTGATTCCAAAGAGTACCAATTTGATACGAACGTGCGCCATGTCACGAGGAAGGGGTGGGGAGGGAACGGGTAGTACGGTATTATTCCTAGGTCAGGTACCGTACAAGGCAAAAGGTAAGGCAAGGCAAGGCAAGGCAAGGCCAAGCCAGGCCAATCTTACCCTTTGAGAAACAGTCCCACCCCTTCTCTTTGATCTCTGATCTCTTTCTCCAATTCGAGATTTACACAGCACAGCTCTCCGAGTCGTCGCATCCGATACGCCCTATGCAAGCGTAGGTATCAGATGAGGGAATTGCACGGAGCAAAGAGAAAAAGGCAGATATGGAGACCTGAGAAAGCAACGAATCAAAGAGAGATCAGCGCTCTTTCCGCACTGCCACCGGGTGTCCTCGGATGGCGTCGAGGAATAAAAGATCTTCGAACCTAGCGCGGCGGGGAAAGGGGAGGCGGGGGCCAAAAACGTATGTAGTGGGAGGTAGGTAGCAATCCGTAGCCCAGAAGATAGGCCGCGAGAGGAAGGATGGGAGGTAGCAGGGAGCAGGGGGAGGACGAGGACGAGGACAAGGAGGGAGCAGTGCATCCGTAGAGCTGTGTTGCGTAGAGGGGGGGCCAAGATGGGAACCCTGCCCTTGGATAGCCCGTCCATTCTCTCTCACTCTCTCTTCGTTGACCCTCCATCGCTCCCGCCGCCGTCTCTCATCCGCCGCCCTACCGAAAGAACAGACCACAAGGAAATCAAGACCCGGAACTTGGAAGAGCCTCCTGGACGCTTGTCTAGATGGAAACGACGTGGATCCCCACTAGACTGGAGATGCAGCAATACGGGCTGGCACGAATCATTGAATGTACGCCACTACATGCGACGTTGGGGGAAATTTGCTTGGGGATTTTCGGGTTAATTACCCAAGATCCCGTGTATTAGGCCGAGAAGGGGAAGAAGGCAGCGCCACGGAAGAGAAAGAGAGGAGAGGACGGATACCTACTTGGGTACTCGGAGGGGTGTGCGAGTGGGAGAGAGGGAGAGAGAGTGTGTGTATCTGGGTCTACCATAGGACAGCCTGGGTCTGGACAATCTCGATACCTACCTCCAATCCACACTCTCACTTGGGAGGTGTGGTGGGCTCTGCCAGTCTGCCAGAGGCCGTGTGCCTGAGAAGGCAGGGTTTGTCACGTCTCGTTGGTTTTATTGCATTGACAGAGTGGCTTGTCTCCTGGCCGCTGTCGCCGCGTTTGGATGAACGAATGTGCCGTCTCGAAACAGACATGGATGGGTTTCTGCGGGGAGAACAGACATTAAGGGAGGGTAGGAGGAGGAGGAGTAGGAGGAGCAGGGCCAGGAGGGTACAGTGTGTGTTACGATATCCTGAAAAGACGAGACCTAAGGATGGCTTTCTCCTCGAGTCATTTGACTGAGGAGATCCTGCAGGCTGCTTATGCTGTTGAGGAGGACTCTACCGTGGTTGCGGATAGAGACGCTCCCTCCACATGAGATGTTTGAGAAAGTGGGCTGGGGGGAAAAGGCGGAACAAAGAGAATGGCTCCTGAGGCGCAGAAGGAATAGTGAAAGACGCCAGTCTATGGTTGGGGGCCGTAGGTCCATAGCTCTCTCTCCATCTTTCATCTCCATCTTTCTCCGGTGTCACTCACTCTTTCTGAACGAGCTCGGGCTGCCCGCTGGAGAGGGGAGTGCAGCAGAGGAGGAGAAGGGAAGGGGGCATTGGCAAGGGTGAGGACGAGGGTGAGGGGGGTGGTTTGGAGACGATCAAGCGTCCGTATGGACGTGGGATCTAACAAGTTGGTTGTCATTGTGATAGCTCCTCATGTGCCTGTGTAAATGTGCCCAGCTCTTCGTCCAAAGGGCATGGTTACGGACGTTGTCGAGTACGGTGAAAGGGAGGGAGCGCCACGGGTGAGAAAGTTTATTTCGGCGTGATGTCTTGGATATGTCATCGTGATTGGACACATTGCCGGCAGGGGAGATGAAGGTCCTGCGCGGTCTGAGACCTCTCTTGTGGGTAGATTACGCATACGTATGAGACTCGTTTTTGGGTGCCTGTATCCGTAGGGATGAGTGAAAACATCGTGGTCTCGGTATCCGGAGAATACCTGTCATACCCACGCATGCCATGCTCGATTCGTATTCATCCTTGCGTTTGTGCTTCTCTTGTCTCATGATGAGGTATTGTTGCATTCAAGCCCAGGCAGGGCTCAAATTTTCTTGAACCATTGACTGGCGCGCCAAAATCGCGCTT